TTTTTTGTTGTTCTTCGTATTTTTGTAAAGTTTCTAATTGTTTTGCAATTTTTTTGTTTTTTTTCCGATAATTTTTTTTTTTTATTTTTTTTTTTTTGTTCTTCTCCGTATTTTTGCTGGAATTCTATAAATTGTTTTGGGGCATTTTCTTTGTTGTTGTTCTAATTGTTTTTTCAGCAATTTCATTGTTGTGAAAACATATTTTAATAAAAAGAATGAATTCTAAAGTTTTTCATGTTCCTTTGTTGTTGTTCTAATTGTTTTTACAGTCATTTCTTCGTTGTTGTTCTCAATATTTTTGCTGTAATTCTAATTGTTTTTCTTTGTTTCTTCGCTGTTGTTTAAACTGAGCCCTAACCAGTTTTAAAATATACCCTTTTAAACTCTTCCATGTTTTTTTTTCAATATTACCTCCCGGACGAAAGTTTTTGTACCAAGCCTTTGTATTGCTCAGAGGAGAGAAGAAAAAAACAAATCACTTTTTCTCACTTCAAATGTGTTATTCTGTAGACAGTAGATTTTTGGACAACTGCAAAACGTAAAGTTTATACACAAGGCTGGAAATCAAATATTATTTTTCTTGTTAGCCCAATGCTAGAACAAAGGAACATTAACTTTTTCTCTGAGTGAAAAAAAAAAAAAAGAAATCACTTTTGGTTAGTAAGAAGAATAAATCTGCCTTTCCAATTTTTTTCTTTCTTTTTTTTTTTCTCTATGATTTCATGTGAAGTTCATTAAATTCTAGTCACCAGTGTTGTAGACACTGGTAAGCAAATTTTTTTATTTTATAGTTCTCTCGTGGAGTTCTTTGAATTTTTGTCGCAAGTGTCAACCAAAACGTTTTTTTTTTTATAGTTCTGCCGTGTTCTTTAAATCCTTGTTTGAAGTGTTGTGGACCTGGAAGGGGTCAAAAGAAAACCTCGATCTCAGCAATTCAGTGCGGGGCCTCGTCCGGGAAAAGGACGAATACAGAAGTGTTTGCAGGTCCATTTAGCTGCTAAGTAGGTCAACTCAAGACGCTTTCACTGTCTACAGTCCTCTTCGACACATAATATAGTCATAAGGACGGGTCTATTTTGTCCATAAAGGTAGGTCCCCATAACAATATACTAAGGAAGTTACTTTTAGATGACGAGATCAACAACCAACCATAAAATGCATCGTTTCATGTGACAACTTAACAGTTTTGTCCAACACTGCCAATTTCTATAAAACCAAAAATTAACCTGAAAACACAAGTCATGGTTTAAATAGGCTTATCAAATTGAGACTTTCATATATATGAGCTTTGCATGGCAGCAAAATTGAAATATCTAAATTATCAGCTGTATACAACTACTTTCTAAGATCAATAGTTAAAAATTGCTTTAAGTGATTTAAGCCTGTGGATCTTGGTGAAAATCAGGATTTCTTGAAACATTTTGAACTGGTGCTACTGAATCAGTAAAAGAATTAAACCATTAAAGAAATGTCATCACTTTCAGCAACAGCAAAACTAAAATAGATAATGCATATAACTGCAAGAGAAAATAATGACATAATCAAGATGTTGACATTCCACACTACTTCATACAAAAAGGTTAGAAAGGAAACCCCAACCAATACTGAAAAAGAGTAATAACAGCTAAAATGGATAGCATATGTAAATTTAAAGAGAAAATAATGGCATAATCAAGATGTTGACATTCTATATATATTCAAATAAAGGTTAGGAAGAAAGCCGTTTATCAGTACTGGAAAGAGTGATAACACCTACTTGATTTGAGTAACCTTTTTGGAAAAAAAATTGTTTTAAAGAAAGATTTGATAAAAAAAAACAAAAGCAGCACTGGATGCTTGGTAGAAATGGATGCCAAATGTTTCCTTATAAGTAAACACTAATATTACCATTAACAAACATGCAACACAATTATCTTATGTATTTTTTGAGAATGCATAGTATTTTGAGATTTGTTCTGCTTCATGTCTTTGATAGTCCTGCAAAAATAAAGGGCACATGTGGATAGTGATTAAACAAATGTAAAACCAGAATTTCAAATGCAATTTTTTAGGAAACCAAAGTGTTTTACAAGAAAGTTTGGTGTAACACACTGCAGTGTAGCATAGACGGGATCAAAAGGGGAACTAAATTTTTAGCAGCAAAAAATTAATTTGGTTATTTTTATACATACAAAATTAAAATTTATAAGTTTTTCATGGCTAAGGAGAATATATTAGTTTGAATTGTTTTAGGTACACAAACCAATGATTGCCTTAGCAATACAAACTTCCAATTTAACCATAGCTGGTTGCTTGTGATGGATCTGTACCTTTCCCAAGAGTAATTGTGCATAAATGAGATTAGGTGAATTAAGTTGGTCCAATTTAAAAAAGCTGATTTTGCATTGCACCACCCTCACTTCAGTAAAATTGACAAACCACAATGTTTTGAAGATTATTTCCATAATGGAAGATAGATAATGATTGACCCTTGACAGAGGAGAGATTGTGGAGAAGTTTCCTTATAGGTGTCTCATCCACAATTTCCCAGGTTTTAGCTCATAAAATTTTATTATCTTGTTGTTTCCATTAAATCCATTTGGACCATCCATTTATTCAAGTGGATCAACATGGTGAATGGTTTTCATCTGTCCCTCAATAAATTAGAGGATATCAAATTTTCCAAAGATGGCAATGAAAGAAACAATTATCTTCCTGATGTTAAGTATAATTTTTTTTGCAAATGTACAACCTGTTTGATGAATATACACCACCAAATTAATTGGTTGACAAAATATTTTGTTAAAAGTCCATTTGTTTCAAAAGATAAAATGATTTTCTTCTTTACAACGATTTTTGCATGTGCATTTTTGTAATTATATATATATATATATATATAGGGCATGGAAATCTATTTATTTGTTCATCTTTCAGAGAGATTATTCTAAACCAGTTATTAATTGAAATAAGTTTTTTCAACAAACTTTTATTGTACATTTTTGAATATTCATGAAAAAAATTGCACCTGAGAAGGAAGGAAAAATCAAAGAATTTCTATTAGAGTAGTTTTAGATGTAAAACAAAATTTAAACCTTTACATTTTGTTGTTTTTTTCATCTTGTTTTTAATTGCAACTTATTTAAATTTCTGAAAATTTATTAAATAAAATTAGAAAAAAAATAAAACATTCAGACAAACAAGATCTTGGATTTGTAATGTTATTTCTAAGATGATGTCTATGATGTTAAATGACTATTTAAATGTTGTAATCATTTTTGTTGAGATATTCATGATATTTGAATGAGGATTAATTGAAGAGAACATCACTGGAAAATATCATACTTGAAAATACAGTCCATTGCTAGGGCCACAAAAATCTCCTTTTCAGATCACATAGACATGAATAAAAAGTGGGAACCATTGAAATTGGATGCTAGAAAAACAATAATAACAACAAAATTGTAATATGAGCACTGGTAAAAAAATATATACTGAGATATTAGGTTTATATATATATACAATTATAGACAGATAACCTCAAGGACTGTGGATAAAAACAATTGATTGAAACCAGTGACTGGACCCAAAGAGTTGTTGAGTTCAATAACACCTATTTGGAATGAACAGAAAACTTGAGAATTGAGTTAAAGGCAAATAATGATTTTGATTTTTTAATTTCAATTTGGCTTGTGGAACAAGAACATTCAATCCCAAGTGAAGTTTGGAATTTAGTAAATTTGAATCAGAACAATTTTTTTGAAGAAGACAAAATTAAAATGATTTAAGTTTTTCTTTTGATTTTTATTTTAGCATTTTAATTACAACCTTTTCTACATTCTCTGATTGTTAAGTAAACAACATAGATTGGAAATAAACAAGTAGACATAATAGTCTTAAGTTGTCTAAATTTCTTTGATGAAACATTGTCATTATTAATTTTTGACTAACTTTTCTTTTCATCCTGTTCTATTGCTTTTCTTTTTGATTTTTTTTTTTACATTCTCAGTCTGTTAAGTAAGCAGCATAGATTGAAAAGACCATACATTCAGTTTTTATGATCATACAACTCAAAAATTTTAATAATTAATAAAGAAATAAAAAGTTAAAATATCCAAACCTTTTTTGGTATCTTGGTGCAAAAAAGATTACTGTAGTTACCTTTAACATTGATTACTATATGACATAATGACTATAATGATATAATGACTATATGATATAATGACTATATAATTCCATGAAGGTTGCTAATGAATGATAATACTTAGTAGTACAAGAATAACACATATAAGATTCACCAGTGGCATGTAGAAGAAGTAGTCAATGCTAGAAGTGAGTCAATGAATCTCCAACTAGAGGATATCTACCAAATATTCCACGTGCCCAGATGTATCAAGGCCAAATTTATGTGGGGTATCCAAGCCTGTATGCTTAATAAAAAATTCCCCAGACCCTGTATAAAACAAGGTCAGGTAGCTGTTTCCTGAGACAAGAATCTGCCCTTTGACACAGCCTTTGTTCAGGATCTCTCTGCCCAGAGGCAGAAAGTTTGACCAGCACAGGTGGAGATAAATCTCTAACTGCAGATCAACATACAGTATTTACTACTGTATTTATTTATTGTCTGTAGGTATGCTACGAAAATATAATGACCTAAAAATAAATCTGAGATAATGCCATCACATTCACTATGATATAATGACCTGATAATCTCTCTATGATATAATGACCTTATTATCCCTCTATGATATGTCCTAATGATCATTCTATAATATAATGACCTGACAATAATTCTATGTTATAATGACTTGATCCCCCTATGATATAATGACCTGATGATCTCTTTATGATATATTAATTATATGTTTCTATAAAAAACTTGTATTAATGTAGGCTTCTACCTATAGCTAATTAATACCTACCATCCCCAAATATAAAGCAGTGAACATTAATGGGCTATCTAAGTGTAAATAATAATATAACTGATGAGGTCTTTGACTTCATAATCACTGAGTTTTACTTACTTTTCATCTTGTACAGCGGCTAAAACTTTCTTTGTATTGAATACTTTTGATGGAAAGATACAAGTTGCTCCATGAGTTAGCATCATGAGGGAGCCAAGGACTGAACCAAAACAGTGGAACAAAGGGACTGGAACACAAATGCGAGTTTCCTGCATTTCAAAAGAAAGAAAGAGAAAAGAAAAAATAGTTTAGTACATCAATGTGAGTCAAATTGATTTCTTCAAAGATTCAGTCAGTTATGTGCCATGCGTGATACTCGCTTAGGTGATCATATATCTTTCGATACATGACTGACGAGGCAGATTTTTTTTCCCTGCAGAAGGTTGCCATTTCTTTCTGTAGTAGACCAGTTACCATCCAAGGCTATAGAACCCAGTCTGTCCTGCTATTTACCCATAGCTGGGTGGGAGAAGAGGATTCATACCTTTCCTAAGGGTATTAGCATGTAAGTGAATGTAATGGATTATTAGATAGATAGATAGATAGATAGATAAATAGATAGATAGATAGATAGATAAATAGATAGATAGATAGATAGATAGATAGATATAAACAGTCCAAGATAGATAGATCAGTTATATGCCATGTGTGATACATGCTTAGGTGATCATGTATCTTTTGATACATGTCTAACGAGGCAGATCTTTTTCCCACAGTAGGTTGCCATTTCTTTCTGCGAGAGACCAGTTGCCATCCAAGGCTATAGAACCCAGTCTGTCCTGCTAGTTACCCATAGCTGGGAGGAGAAGAAGAGGATTCATACCTTTCCGAAGAGTATTAGCACGTAAGTGAATGTAATGAATTCAACTGGTATTTGATCTCGGCTCCCCAATTCTTCAATTCGAGCTGCTATCCATTACTCCACCGTAAATGAATTAATTAAATTTATTTTACTGTTTTTCAAATATTTGTTGAAATCATCTTGTTCATAATTGTTATTTAGATGCACCCCCACCTCAACTTTGTGTCAAACTATAAGCTTTGTAGGTATTTGCTTCTTTTCCTTCTATGTAACATGCCCTTCAGGATGTTGGTGATAATGGCTCTCCACAATTTCCTGTCCTTTGTTGTTCTTAATGAATTTTGTCTTTTTGCTATCTCTCCCAAACCCTGCTCTGACATCCATTCTCTTAAGCTCACCAGGTAGATTAAGCATGCTTTTCCTCTGTCCCTCTTCCCTTTCAATCTATCCTGTGAGTATCAAATTTTTCCAAAGCCCTCTTTCCTTATTATGTACCCTAGAAATTTCAATTATCTCTTCCTAATATTAAGTATAAATATCCTTTGTTTCCATTGTCTCTAGAACTTCATTGTTGCTCAGATGTTTGGTCCATGGTATTCTCAGCATCCTTCAGTAGTGCCAAATTTCTGCTGCTTCAAGTCTCTTCTTCATCTGTGAGAGACTATTCATCATTCACTGCCATATAGGAGGATGGATACTACATAATGATTCAGTATTTTTTTTTTTTGTTTCTAATGATATTTTCTGTTTCTTAACACTTTTGCTAGCTTTTTTGGAAGTCAACTTTTGCTATCCCATTGTCTGTTAAAATGCTTCCAGATATTTAAATCTGATTCATTTGTCTGGGGATCTATTTAGGAGGGGGCACATGTCATTTCTTTCGCTTCCTCAGATCAGCAGCGTTTATTCATGTACATACTCGATAAAGAATACTGGTAATTATATCAGAGAGTTGGATGTGTGAGTAGATTAATGGTTAGCAAATTGGAAAGGAAAATCAAGAAGTCGGGTTCAAATTCTGGCCAAGTTGTCTATGTTCATGTTATATTCTGTGCTAATAGGAATATATACTTGAAAAACAAAGGTGGATAAAATAAGTAAAAGGTTTATTGTAAAAAACAAGTACAATAAGAATAAAGGTAACAAGTCGTTGCAAGTCAATCCAATAGTGAGTGTTACTATCGAAAGGTTGGTAGTTCTCTCATAAGTCTGAGTCGTACTCAACAGATCCCAGCTAGTAATATTTACCAAGCTCCCCCAAAACAGGTTTGGGTCTGTCTACCCTCATCTGTTCCACTCTGCCTGAAGGCAGAGAGTTTGACAACTAAGAGCTGAGTAACAGATCCCAACTAGTTGATATTTACCAGCCTCCCCACAAGGTAGGATGTGGCACAAGGCCGAGTTTAGTGTGGGTTAATGGAGCCTGTAGGCTCAGCCAAAAAATTCCTCGTAGATCCCATATAAAAATTGGGTTGGGTAGTGTTTTTACCCTGAGATGAGACTCTACCCTTCGACATAGCCTTGTCTGGGGATCATCTCTGCTTAGAGGCAAAGTGTTCGACCAGCACAGCTGGAAAAAGATTTCAACTAGTATATTTACTAACCCTCCCACTTGATCAGATGTGGCACAGGGGCCAAATTTAATGTAGGTATCCGAGCCTGTAGGCTCAGCCAAAAATTCCCATAGATCCCGTATAATACGGGGTTGGGTAGTTGTTTCTCGAGAAAGACTTCCCTTTGACTTGGCTTCATCTTTGGATCTTTCTTCCTGAAGGCAAAGTGTTCGACCAGCACAGCTGGAAAAGATTCCAGCTAGATGGTATCTGCCCCATACTGATCGTGTGGCACAAGGCCGAATTTAATGTGGGGTTCCCAAGCCTGTACGCTCAGCCAAAAAATCCCCATAGACCCTGCATAAAAAGGGTCGGGTCTGTCTACCTCCCTGGACGAGAGTCTACCCTTCAGCATAGCCTCGTCTGGGTTCCTCTCTGCCCAGAGGGAGAGAGTTCGACCAACACAGCTGCAAAAGATTCCGGCTAGACAATATTTACTAGTCCAAACGAGGGGCAGATGTGGCACAAGGCTGAGTTTAACATTGGTAATCCAAGCCCATAGGCTTGGCAAAAAAAATTCCTGGTTGGTATAAACGGGGTCAGGTAGCTGTTTTCCCAAGACAAGACTCTGCCTTTGACATAGCCTGGGATCCTCTCTGAATGAGGCAGAGAGTTCAACCAGCACAGCTGGAAAAGATTCCAGCTAGACTGTAGTCTGTTGACTTTAGATACTTAGGTAGTTACTACCTATAATGTTGTCACTCATGGGGTGACTGGTTATTTCATTACATCAGTTCACTTTTGCACAAATAACTTTGGGAAAAGCGTGACTCAATGTTTTTTCTCTTTGCTGTGAGTTAAATAGCAGAGCTCTCCGTACTCTTGGAACTTAGATCTGATGAAAGCAATGGAAAAATAACATTTGCCTTATTCATAATTAATTAAAAGAAAGGAAACAGTAAAGAGCTATGATCACTTAAAATCCGAGGAGAATGTAACAAGAAATCACTATGCTGTCTTTCCTAAGAAGTGATGGCAATCACAGATAATAAAGTAAAGGAATCTGTGGAGAGCCATGATCATTTTAAAATTCCTGATTCCAAGACAAGGCCCAGTGTCACTAGAAAAAGATTGTTGTAGGAAGGTTAATTTTCTTATACCAAAAGCTATATAAATCAATTGAAGATTAACCCTACAAATCATCTCATTTTGCTTTTCGTCATCAAGATATTTTCTTCCTTAATATAGCACCTGCCATGGCTTGACCAGCGTTGCAATCTTCCACTGCTCTGAGATCAAGAACACAACATGGACACAGATAGTGTAAATTGAAGCAACCCACAACCCACAACCAGATTGAACCAGCATTAGCAATGACCACTGCAGAGTTAGCTATGTATTAAAATGTTGTCCT